CAAATCATGTACAGCGATTCCGCCACAACTACCACGTAATACTTGTCACAAATTGTCGATAGAGGGCGCATGTCAAAACTTACACAGGACCTGTTCCACTTTCCAGTGTTCAGTATGATTATTTTTTTTTTGTCAACATTGGCTGGTATTAAATTTACGAAACATTGATCTCAAACAATTTTAAAAAGGTATAAACTTTGTGGCAGAATCTGGGTATGTCTGGACTTCTACATATTCTAATTCGAATAAAAAACTGAGAACACCAGGGGTACAAGGTCGAAACAGTGTTCTTAATCAGAGAAAAATAGGTTTCTGAAGGGTATATAATCCCCAAAAACGCACAATGCTGTTCCTGCAATTGACAAGGAGTGTCAGAGCTCTGCATACACGTACAAAGTTTTTTTTGGAGGGGGTACCAAGATTTTTTTTTTGTGAGAGAAAACTATGACATTTTGTAGTTGTGGTCAAAGCTTAAAACATTCTCAGTATATTGACTAGAAGGCGAAATACGAGCCAATTTATAGAATGTTTAAATAGCACATTTATAACATGCAGGAAGCCTTTTCAGTCGATACAAATTAGGTTCACTGCAACGAACTAGATAATTTACGACATCGATGCAAATTAGGTTCACTGCAACGAACTAGATAATTTACGACATCGATGCAAATTTGGCTACAACTGCTAGCTTGTCGCACGTGAATTAATAAAACTTTATTTTATTGGCATAGTGAAGCTATCTTTAAATTTCAAAAATTGCACTAATATCAATTTACAATTAATACATATATTATTTATGAATATATTGATTAACAGTCAATAACCAGATCTTACAATCAAAACAAATCCAGTACTCGCAATTAACTGGTCACTTGTAAAATGAACAGTTAACTCGTCAGTATTCCAAGTGGTTTCTTCGTTGACATAGTTGTATTGTGTCTGTTCCACGTCATTGATATAGACATGATCAAATCCCCATTCCAGTGCAAAAACGACGAACGTGAAATGCAAGAGGGCGCCATCTTCTTCACTGCGTATAACTGAAGAGCAGTCCAGCAGGTTGTCATACACTGAAGGATTCAATGGGGAAGCTGGTGGCTTAATCCCTATCACTTCATCCAGC